CTCTGCCTTTCTTTCTCTTTCTGTCTCTCTGTCTGCCTTTCACTCTTTCTTTCTCTCCATCTCTTTCTCTCTCTGTGTCTCTCTGCCTTTCTTTCTCTTTCTGTCTCTCTGTCTGCCTTTCACTCTTTCTTTCTCTCCATCTCTTTCTCTCTCTGTGTCTCTCTGCCTTTCTTTCTCTTTCTGTCTCTCTGTCTGCCTTTCACTCTTTCTTTCTCTCCATCTCTTTCTCTCTCTCCATCTCTTTGTCTTTCTCTCTGTGTGTCTCTCTATCTTTCTCTCTCTCTCCTTCCCTCTGTCTTCCTTTCTCTCTTTCTTTCTCTTTCTCTTTTTCTCTCTCTTCATCTCTCTGTCTTTCTCTCCGTCTGTCTCTGTTTGCCTTTCCCTCTTTCTTTCTCTCCATCTCTTACTTTCTCTCTCTCCATCTCTCTGTATTTCTCTCTCTCTGTCTTTCTCCCTTTCTCTTTGTTTCTCTCTCTCTCTCTCTCTGTCTTTCTTTCTCTCTCCCCCCATCTCTCTGTCTCTTTATCTCTCTCCCTGTCTCAGAAGCCAGAGTCACTTAACAACTGTGGTACTGACTTAACATTTGCAGCGACTCACTTAACAACTGTGGCAGGAAAGGTCGTAAAACTGGGCCACCTAACGAATGTCTCGCTTAACGAATTTTGAGTTCCGTTGTGGTTGCAATTCGAGGACTGAGTAAAATTAAAATAATTAGTAATACTTAAGTTAATTGTTATTTTATTTATTGAATTGGTTACATTAATGATGGAATCAAAATCATTTCTCCTTTTCCCTTAGGCCCCTGGAGAAAGTGAATATTCGGATCCCTTCGACGCTCACCGGGAACCGAAAGGGGAAGGCGAGGAAGAGGCTGGCCTGGAAAACAATGGCTACATGGAGCCCTACAACGCCCAGAGAGTGGTGGCTGGTGAGTGAAGGAAAAATAAGAGAGGGAATGGAAAAGTAAAGGACAAGAAAAAGGAAAAGAAAGAAAAAAGAGTCACTTTCTCCTTTTTCCTAATAAATAAAAGACCGTTTTACAGGTATTCCTTGACTTGTGACGGTAACGGAGTCTCCCCATCATGGTTCTAAGTCGGGGCAGTTGCAAAACGGGTTGTCCATCGATTTTACGACCTTTTTTTGCAGAGGTCGTTAAGCGAATCAGCCTTATCTTCCCCGTCATTAACTTGGCTTCTTGGAAACCGGCTGGGAAGGTCACCCATGGCGAGCGTTGGAAATTCATGCCGGTTGCCAAGCACCCAAATTTTGATCCCGTGACCAAGATTGGAGATGCTGCAACGGTCGCTAAGTGTGAAAAATGGTGCTAAGTCACTTTTTTCAGGGCTGTTGTAGCTTCAAATGGTCACTGAACGAACGGTCGTAAGTCGAGGACGATGTATATGATTAGATCCTTTGAACAGCTGCTAAATGAATGGTCGTAAGTCCAGGACAACCTGTCTGATGGGATCCTTCAAACGGTCATTAAGTGAATGGTCGTAAGTCCAGGACAACCTGTCTGATGGGATCCTTCAAACGGTCATTAAGTGAATGGTCGTAAG